CTGCTAAATCTGGAGCTCCCATGCAGGGCTGGTCAGTGGGGTGCCACATGGAGTGTGCACCCTGTGCCAGCTTCCTGTGTCACATGTCCTGGGGATAGGACCAGGATGGACCCACTGCAGAGTGCCCATGATTCTGGATCCTGCCCATGTGCCACACGTGCCAGCCAGGGGACGGCATGGGGTGCACGATGTCTGTTGCATGAAGGATGGATCTGACATTGCAGGCATCACAGGGGTCCAGAGCATGGGCTGCACGTGGTGTCCTGTACTGCTTCCCTGTGCTGCCTGTAATGCTGGGTCTAGCACATGTGCCATCGGCAGTGTGAACCCTGCAGGGGGTGGTGCATGCACCTGGGGATGGTCCGTGCAGTATGCAGGCAGGACCTGGTGCCTGAGTGCTCTGCTGGGTGGGCAGTCCTGGCCCTTCCCACACACCAGCTCAGGTACACTCACCTGGCCCATGGGGTCCGATGAGTTTTAAATCCCTGGTTTAAGGGAGGAGTATATTGCCTTATTGCACATTTTGTGCACAAGATGGGGTGTTGAACACAGACAGAGTACCTTTGCCTGGGCAGTCAGGATTGGGAGCTTTAGGTCATATTTAGTAGGGCTGTGTGAAGCTTCAGTCCCTGATTTGATCTGGTGGAGATTCATCCTGATTCGGTGGCCGAATCTCCGAATCCAAATCGAATCAGAGGACCCTTTAATCTCTCTGAAATGAATCATAACATTCTAAATAGATTCAGAGAGATTCGGAAAGATTCAGCGATTCGGACATAGACACAGCTTTAAATGTTTTTTCTACATACCTCTAGGTAGCAGGGGCTCGTGAATGCTGTGATGCTGGGATGCATGGTGTGTCCCACTGAAGCATGGGGGGCTCCCCAGCATGCTCACCAGTGGGCCCGGAAATGGACCAGAAGCACTTCCAGTCCACTTCCGAGTCTGCCGAGGAGTGGTGCCTCCTGGGTCTGGGGTGGGGGGGGCACCCTGCAGCTGATCACTGAGCCAGAGGCAGGGCATGGGGAGCCCCCTGCGCCCTCCCCAGCAGAACCAGAAGTGGACCAGAACTATTTCTGGTCCACTTCTGGGTTCACGGCTGAGCACATGGAGGGCTCCCCCGCACTCCTGTGGGATGCTGCATGCGCCCCAGCATCGCAGCGATCACGAGCCATGCTTGCTACCTCAGGGCATGTAGAAAAAACTTTTAAAGTTGTTTCAATGTCCAAATCGCTGATTCACTGAATCAGCATTGAATCTTCAGATCTGGATTTGGCTGAATCGAATCAAGGACACTGATCTGAATCAACAGATTGAATTGCTGTCCCTGATTCAGGCTGAATCCAAATCGAATAGGGCCCACTTTGCACATCCCTAATATTTAGGGGTGGACAGCACAGATTACTTGTGGGGTTGGGTTAGAGTGAATCTCTGAATTGTTGGTAGGAGTTTGTCTGTTCCCAGGTAGCACCCTCTCTGTGGAGAATAGGAAAGGACTTTTGGCCAGAAAAGAACCCCTTGATTGGGTTCTTCCATGTGTGGGAGAAAATGAGAAATTCTCACTGGAGGTTCCCATTGTCTAGGTGCTGCCCTCTTCCAAAAGAATATAAAGGGGGTGGTGGTGCAATGTGCATAAAACATTTCAGAGCAAGAATTACTTAAACTATAAATGCTTTGTGAAACACTGTTTTCTTTTTCTTGGGCTGCATGTAGTTGTTGGTATGTATAGTCTAACTGGGGCCAAAAGGTGGGCAAAAGTAGTATTCTGAAGGGTGTGTGAAGTTGGTGGAGACAGATGTGAGGATCTCTGTAAATTATACTGGTTTAGATGTCATCTGTCCACAACCATCCCAATGTAGCAGTTTATTGAAAACAAACAGGCTTTTAACCTGTTCCCCATCACCTAGTGGCAAGGCACAGTAACAGCTGTCTACTGTGTGAGCTAACATGATAGCTATATGCATGTTTGATCCCTCTGTAATTTATGTTGACCTACAACATAACATTCAGGGAGGTTAGGGGGAGGTTAGATCGAGTAAAAATGGCCACCCAGTCTAAGGTAAGTTGAGATGTGGGGGCTAGTGGGGCGGGGTGTTGGTGGAGACTGGGAAGGTTTGGTGGGATTGATGGGGCAAGCAGTGTCCGCAAAGGGCTTGGAGGGCTTGTGGTGGGGGGGAGTGGGATCTGTGGGGGTGTTGGGAGGTTTTGGTGTGGTCGGGTGGGCTTATGGTGTGGGGGGTCCCAAACAGTTGGTCCCCACTGACCAAAGAGTTCACAAAGTTACCCAGTTACTGTGTAGGAGCGATTCTGTTACCTCCTTAGTGAGTATCTCTATACAGGAATAGGATTGCTTTCCAGGGTGGGGGATGGGAGGGCTTCTCCCCCTCCTTAAACCAGGGGTTGTTTTTAGCCCCTGATCTTCTCACCCCCAGGTGAACCATCCCCCCATCCCAGCAAACCTACTCCCATCTATCCCACCTGCCCTTCCCCCACTCCCCCAGCTTATTTTGATTGGCTTCTGGCATTAGTAAATGCCAGTCAATCTGGAACCAGGAGTGGCTTGCAGGATAGGGTATTTGGTGGGCTTAGGGAAGGGGGCACTGGCTGTTCCGCAGAGTGGGTGGGATGTGTTCATCTGGGAGAGGGGCCAGGGGGCTTAAATGGCTCAGGGGGTCAGGTAGGAAAACTGCAGCCCTAGGGCTGAAGCCGGCGGTTGGCCTTCCCCAGACCCAAGGCTGTGCTGGGAACTATACAGAAGTTCACTTAGATGATCTCACCGGCCCTGATCTAAGTTAGACTATCTCTGAGGTACACTTAACTTAGATCAGGTCAGCCATTTTTTGATTGATCTCAGCTTCATGAACTCCTATACAGTTCACACTTAGATTCCTAGTTAGGTCAGTCTAAGGATAAGGTCTGCATCTGGGCAAACTCTGTTAGATCAGGTGGGCATTTTTAATAAGATCGAACCTTCCCCTATCCTCCCCAAATGTCTGTACTTAGCCTTAGTGCAGCTCTGTGGGTTGGCTAATTTGCAGTGTCACTCAGCAGTGCTAACAACCTGTAGCAAAGGCTTTGCAAAGGCAGTGTGCATGAGATGGCAGCTGGGGTGGGCTGTACATTTACTCTGTAGATGTTGCCCAAATGACCAATGAAGGATTGAGGCTGTGGTGCTGTGTGTACAATAAAGTAAAAATTGTGTGCAAGGTAAGTAAAAGAATCCAAAAGGCTTCCTTACTTTCTGTCTTGGAGACTGATCCAGCAACTGAAGTTAGCAGGAACATTTTTCTTTGGATGTCAGGAGCAGGATTTAGTCTTGCTTTGTCAGGTGGATGTCTTCTAGAGAGTAAGTTATCAGTATCACCCAGGCTTAGAACAGTAGAGCTGACACTTATGTACTGCTTATTGTATTACACAGAAGCTAAAGCTCTTCTCCAGCAAACATCCTATTGGTGCTAGCCTCCAATGTACGTTGCTCTCAAAATTAGAAGTGCAGGCCATTAATGATATTTAGCTTAGTTTGCTGCTTCATTTTAAAACTTGAAGGGCTGAGAGTCATCCAATTTTTGACTATATAATTTACTGAATGTTTCCCATCTTATCACAGATTTTTTTAGATTTAAGGAGTATTTTCTGGGTTATGGTCTCAGTAATTCACTTCAGTGCATTTTAGCCCCATAGGGCACATCCAGACAAGTGGGAATATGCATACCCTGTGGACAGCTAGCAGCAGCACATATTTATGCTGCTGTTACTTGTCCCTGGGGAACACCCCTGCACGTGTGCTCTGGTATGTGGAAACTTGACCTGCATGTGGTAGGGGAGGCTCAGGCTAGCACCTGGCTGGCCCCAGCAGCCTTACCTGGGGTTCTGGGGGCATGCCAGGGCTCCACCAGCGTTGATCTGGGTGTGCAGAGCCTGGCCAGCAGATGGAGTGCGGCTTTGGCTGACCAGGCTCTGGTTTCATACTGCCACTGTGTGTGTTGCGCTGCTTTTTTCTGGTGCAGGATTTTTTTACACTGGGATCTCCCACAAATTAACACTTCAAATTAACCTGCATGAATGGTGTATAGAGTTTGTGGTGTGGCAGATGGGTCTGTGATGCCGCAGACCATATGTGCACTCATTTGGACGCGCTCATGGAAGCCGCAGTCGTTGCCTTAGCACAGTGATTCTCAGCCAGGGAACCATGGCATCCTGGGGTGCCTTGAGAACTTTTCAGAGGTACCATGTAATATCACCACTGTTAGGTGAGCAAACTTGATTCGCAAGATAAATCCAGATATTTTAGATAGGAATTTGTAAAGTAAAAAACATTTTGACTTGTGATTTTTTTTTTAGTTCTTTGCATGAATGTTGCATGCCTCCCAAGGCTGGGGGGGCACGGCGACTGCCCACAGGTGGTCGCAGTGGCGGGGGGGCGTGGTGGCGGCAAGCGGGAAGCTCCTGTAGGTGGTTGTGGCGGTGTTGGCAGCGAGGGTGGCGAGGGCTGACCGGCAGTTGGTGACTACCTGCAGACACCACTGCCTACAGACGCCACTAGCAGTGTTGGTGGTGAGGGGGTGTGGGTGGCGAACGGTTACTGCCTGCAGGCGCCATCAGCAGCATTGGCAGTGGCCAATCTTAAGGGGTGCACTGCCAATCTCAGGGGGTGTGCATGCACCCCCTACACGTTGCCAATGGTTCTTTGCAATAGAAAAACTGCTCTAGTATTTTTCTGTAGTTAAGAAACAAATGAAAACTAAAAGTTGGCATTTTTGAGGGGTGTTTTGGGACTAAAAAGATTGAGAACCACAGCCTTAGTGGCTAGTGTGAATGCCTCATTTATGTATTTAGAGCTCTGAACAAAGTCTCTCTTTAGAAGATTTTAATTTTTTTGCCCCAAATTCCATTAAGGTATAAGCTGGGTTCGCATTGTACACATGTAGATAGCTAACAGTTATAAAGGGTTAACTGGTAGAACTAAAGTTCCTGTACTAATTGCTGCTTTCTTGTTTCAGAGGTGTTGTTAAGGTTGATATAAACCTGCAGAAGCTGGACATTGACCAATGTTCAAGTGAAGGGTGGTTTTCAGGAACCCACAAATGCCATCTCAACAATTCTGAGGTAAGAGCATTTAAAAACAGAGCTAAACTTTAATAGTAAGTAATCTTTCCACTAGAAAATATTTGGTAGCGACTGTCTTGTTTTCTGTAGTCCTTACATGTGATTTGTCCTGAAAAGATTTCTCTATGCATCAAGATATTATGATATGTATGAGTACCAGGAGTATCGACTCAAAAATATAAGAAAATTGAACTTTACTATGTAGAGGCATTGGCTTTAGGGACAAAGAAGATTTATCAGTGAAATGATTTATATGAAGTTCTACTACTGAGGCAAACAACAAGCATCCCTTTATGCACAGTCTTAAAATAGCTTTGTAATGAGAGTCTCTAGCTTTGGGCTGGGGAAAATTTTGGATTATGTAATAAAACCGGTTGAAATGCTGATGGTATTCATTCAAAACGATTTGCTTTGGAATGTGCATTTGCAGTAATGGGCAAAATTGGACTTTGTGATTTTTTTTTTCCTTTTGCTTTAAAATGGTAATGCCAACACTTTGACAGAACTGACTAAATGCTTTTATTTGACGCTTTCCTGTACTTCTCCCCTGCTTTCCTCTCTCGCTTCCCAAGGGACACCTATCATTGACTTAATTTATAGCTGCATCACAGATAATCCAAACTGGCCAGCCAAGAAGCATGCACTAAAGCTTTGAAAATGGAACCTGATCATTAGATATGGAAGAGAGGGGGATGGAGAAAGGGAGTTATTATTTATACAGGGAAAGACTGTCAAAATCACAAAATGGATTTAATTGCCCAATTCCCATTTACGTACTACTGGAACTTGGATACCTCAATCCCATATTATGTCTTAAAAAAAACTTTTTAAGAACTATGATAATGTATATAGAAGCTGGCAACTGTCTACTTAGGGTGGCATTGTCATCAATAGATCCTGTTGGAGAATTTATTAATTTTTGGTAGTAAAATAATGATTTGTGAAAGCCAAAATAATTTTCAGGAAAGTTGTTTTTGATGAGTAGCTCCAAAAAAAGATCGAAATATTTAATTTTGACATTTTTGACCAAAATTCTGCTTTTTCAGTTCAAAAGAAATTTCAAAATGAAAAGTCAAGCTAGTCATAGTAAAAATAACTAACAGATTTAAAAGGATGAAACTGAAAGAAAACCATTTTTGTACTATGATTTCTCAAAGATGTCTGCCTTGTTGCTCTAAATTGGAAAGGGAAATTTATTTTGTCATTAGAAAACCATTTCCATCTGGTTCTACTCATTTATAGATTTCCCCTTTTAAAAATGTGATGGCCATCCTGAGGTTGTGTGTGTTTTTGGCAAATCGTAATTCCCCTGTCTCTGCACCATGAACATAAATTTTGAGGGAGATGGTGATAGTACATGTTGAATTATGTTTCTTCCAGCAACAAAGAGGAAAGTAAACATATTGCTGGGGGACCTTAATAGAAAGAAAGTGGGAAAGGGGGTTGGTACTGGTCTTCAACTTCCAGTAGGACACATGCCAATCCATGGAAGTCTTTCTGTTTACTTATTTCTGGACCAGGCTTCATATCCATTTTAGAAAATGAGGTTAAATTCAAACTAAGCTGGATGTGTTTCCATAATCACAATTTCCAATTTAATTTGAGGTATAGCAAGAATGTTGTGGAGACTGTCATACAAAATACTGTTACTGCTGACAAACTGGTAAGGGAAAAAGTTATTGTGGATTGCTATTGTCACTGGTGTCAGCAGTTCCTCAATTTGAACATGATCTCTACTGTGACTCATTGCTAGGTCTTCAGATGACTTAAGAGTTCAATCTTTGAGCCACAGATCTGTCTGCACAAGTTTCCAGTCTTTCTGCAGGGGAGAATAGGCCATAGGCTGAGATTTCTCTCCTTGTGGGTTGCCATAAAACCAAAAAAATCCCAAGCAAAATGGCTTCTTATTCACACTTGGAAATTTTCATGGAAACATAAGGTAGTTTTTACTAGTGGAAACTCTCATTTCCCTGAATAAAAACACTCTGGCTATGAAAAAGCAGCTTCCTCATGAATACGACATTTAGTAAAATTGCTATACTTGTGTGCTTTCTATGTTATTGCAATATATGTGGCACGTGGTGTGTTACTTGGGAAAATTAAGTGCTGAATTAAATTGGCCATGAAGGAAAATGTTAAAGAATACAGGGAGTTTCCTTTGATTTGCAAAAATATTTTAATTTCACATTTCTTTTTATCTGTTAGCATAGGAAGGCTAGGAAGTCTCCTTTTGTGTTGTTTGAAACAGACTGCTGGTGTGAGTTGGTAATGCAATAGAGTGTCTGTTTCATAGGGTCCCAGCTGAAGTCAGTGGAAGTATGCTTAAGCCTATAACAATTACAAGGATTCTCAGAGGTCTTTGAATTCATCTTGTGCATTGTTGGGGCAAATATCTGTGCATGTTATTTTGTTTATTTGCTGGCAGAATATCATCTACTTTATGTCAAAGGTCCTGCAGTCTCTGGATTTGTGATTCATATTATACATAAGGTGGTCAGCTGGCTTTTTCTTTGCAAAGCTCTTGGATACTCTTGATTTTTTTGCATTCCTGTTAATTCTATTTGCATTTTGTTTCCATGTCTTATTCCTTGAGAATTAATGGAACCTACAGCATAATACTTATCTACAGTACCTCTGCTGCTTTTGAGTCCAACATAATCTATCGCTGTACTGCGATACAAGAACTGACTTGTGTTATTTTTAGGGAATCATCTAATGGGAAGCACTTGGCTTGCTTGATGATATAATGGATGATTTCTTTTTTATGGTAGAAAGTTAAATGGTCTTGTTTTCATTACTGTATAAGTTTTCATAAATGAATTCCTGTGCTGCAGAAGGGAACTAAAACCTCCATTCCAAGGCAATGGCTCTTCTGCCTGTAGTACAAAATTACAAACAGTCTACACATGCACTTGTATTACTTAACTCACAAAAATAATCCTATTGACACCATTAGTATTACCTACATGAAGGAAGCTGCATATGTGAGCATGAATACTTGCAGATTGAAGTCATAACATGTGCTAGGTCCAACTTTCAGTTCTTGAGGCATTTCTTATAAAGCTTTCAGGATGCACTGCTTTCCACCCATGCTTTGTTGAGAAAAGGGCAGAAAAGAATCCCTGCAGAGTAGTTTATGTGCAGCTCTAGTCCCTGGTGTCCTGTACTGCCTCCACATCCTTCTACTGGGCTACAAAAGAGCTGTGGGTTGTTAATACAGTGCTAGGTCAGGAGGAGCCAAGTGTACAGGATGAAAGATGCATAGATGCTCCAACTTCCCATTTTCTTTGAAGTATTGACAGGACTGGTGGTGGGGAGGGGCACACAGAGCTGCTGGAGATGATACCCAAATCAAAGGTTTCCCTCTTACCTTGGGTCCTCATTTTAGGAGAGCTTTTCAGCCTGAGTCCCTGTTCTTTTCTTGGCTGATGGCTCTCAACTCCTGTGGAGCTTGAAGTGGTTTCTGGCCCCAAACTTCCTCTTTCTTCTCTGAGTTGGTTGTTCATGCTGATTCTACCATGGGGAGAAGGAGAATGAAGTAGCCGCACAACAGTAAATGCACCTTTACATACCCATAACATTTTCCATTCAAAATATCTATAAAATAATCAGTAATGACATTAACTCCACAACCCCTGTGAGGGAACAGACATCCCTGTTTTTAGAGAAGGAGAAAATGAGGTTCAGAGCATTTTAAGACTATTTTGTTTTTCAGGCAAAGTGATTCTGTGTCTTAGTAGGGAGAAGAACATATATTTCCTGACTTATGGTCCTGTACTTGATCTCTTGTTCATGGACATTTCAATGCAGAGTTCTCACTCAAGCCTTTTTGGCTGAGCAAAGCATGCTGTTTTCATGTATGACAACTTTTCTCTACCCCTGAATGTCTTATGTAGTTCTGAGTATTTGTTTTGTGAATAGTGATCTGTATTTGCTTCAGATTTTACTGAGGCTTGTTGCATGGGTGCTGTATCTTGTAATAAAGGCAGTGCAACTCAGTAGAGGAGCTTTAGAAGACGCACAGTGTAAAGCCATCCTTTTAGGGAATGTGTATACGAGATATGGTAATGTGCATTAGCCTAATGTAATGCACATTACAGATGTACATCTACATGTGTGTACCCTTAATATGCATTAAAAATGGTGAAATTAGGTTCATCACACCTAAATTTGATACCTGCAAATGCAGGTGTGATTAGTTAAAGCACTTTAATGCATGTATAGCTGCGACCTGTCACTAACTTTAGTTACGGGTCTGCCCAGCCACTAGGGGGGGCACATGGCAGGGCTGCAGGGACTTGGCACTAACTTTAGTGCCAAATCTCTGCATGTGTAGATACCCTCAAAAATTGCTTAATGCGCATTAAATTTAGTTGCGCTTAAGTGCACGTGTAGACATGCCCCTTTTGTAGGAAAAGCAGGCTAGAATCTCTGCAAACCTTCTCCTCTTTGGAGCAGCACAAAGACGGGATTTGAAGTCAGGAAATATCCTTTTGTTTAGGAAGATAGAAGGTTTTAAATTCTTCCATGCTGCCTCGTTCTGGATGGGCAGCAGGATGGGCTGGAGGGAAGAAAATGTATCATGCTCCTGTGAGCCCATTTCTGGGGTTGTGTGGCAGCCAAATGCAGCTGGCAGCAAACCAAGAAATCCCTTTGTGCTTGGCTGAGGAGCCAGGTGAGGAAAACTGTCATCTGTGGAGTAATGACTGAACCCATCTAAATCAGAATCCCCCCTAAACGGAACCATAAGGGAACAAAATGAGTGGTGTACCAGAGAGAGAAAGGAAAGAAAAGACACAGGTATAAAACATACAACATTAATGTTACTGTGTAATTTTATTCTTTATGATGCCACATGCTTTTGGGGCCACTATATAAATAATTAGTGAACTTCTGAAGATGTTACTAAGAATTTTACAGAGAAAAGGTATTTGCAATCTAATAAAAATTAGCAGAAGATTGATGGGAAATGGAAAGAAAAGGAAAGGAAAGAATATAAT